CAGGATCACACCATTGGTTGGTTCTCCATCTCTCAGATCGGAGGCAATGAATTCAACATAACGGTACTTCTTCCAGTTATCCGTTATGTTCCTGTTTTTAGTATTTCACATTGTTTTATAATGTAGCTGTTTCGTTTCATTTTTTAAATATAATTTCTTCCATTTACTTTTCATTTTATATGCTTTTTATATGTTTGTCTACTGTTGTCGTCATTCTTTGTTAAAAACAGGTCTCTCTGGTAAATGAGACCTTGAGGCTAAATGAGACTAGCTTGTATAAATAAAAGTTGAATTGAATTACTTTAAGGCTCTTTTTGTCTCAGGGGTATTGTAAATCAAAAAAAAAACTTCACAAGAGTGTATGTCTAAAGTACTTTGGAATCTAATACCTCTCAATGTGAACATGAAGTAATGTGGAGTATGGATTGGATCAGATCGGGGGGATCAGTGTGCAGCCTGAAGCTGCAACTGCATCTGTTCTGACGTGAAACGGAGAAGCAGATCTTGTTTTGTGTTTTCCTTACAATCGTGCTAAAAGAAAAATACTTGGCCTGAGAGCACAAACACTAGAGAGTATGTACTTCCAGTGCCACAAAAATATCAACTTTATGGGTGACTAAAACCGAGTGTGGATGTGTAAAAACAAGACGTGATGCACAATTAGAGCACGTTGGAAACACTCAGATCACTCACCTTTAGGGCCTGAGAGCGGTTTGCCAGCAGTTTTTCTATGTTCCCAGCAGCAGTTGCCACCAGATGTTTTGCATTGTTCGACTCAACACTGAAGTGGGTTTTGTGTTTATGGTATATCTTGGAGGGAAAAAAAGGCATCAGCATTAACATAAGGCTTTAAATGAAGCTGACAGAGGTTTGATATAAGCCAAAAGATGAGCAAAAAATTTAAACAACTCATTTCTCCTTATTTCAAGCTGATTGATTCTTAACAAAATTCAAGCACTAACAAATTGCACAAGATCTTTGTTTAAAATTCTGCCATTAAATATGTGGAGTCAAGACTGTCTGTTAGCAAAAAATCCCATAAATACTTGGATGGATTTTGACAACAATTTCTAGAAATAACTACTGGATTTCTCTCTATATATAAACAATTAACTTTTGAAGCAAATCTAATTTAAAATGGCTGCCACAGAAAAATGGCTATAAATCAATCAATTTTAAAGATATTGCATTAATATTCAATGTGTTATAGTTTAAAGTTGTCATATTAAGTCAGAGTCAGAGTCAGAGTTTCTTTATTGTCATTCGCACCTCATGTGGTACATGTGGTGGAACGAAATTATGTACACAGGGTCCCAGTTACATCCAACAATAAAATGTATAAGAAAAAGAAATATTAAATATTCCAACTTTAAACTCGTTGCTCTTTGCTTAAAACTTCAGCATTAAATGCGTTAACCCATGTTTGTTAGTAAAATATCTCATTAAACCCCTAATGGATTTGAGAGAAACCTTCAGAAAGAAATCATTGGCGGTTTTCTAAATTTAAACCAAACTACAACTACATTTCTCAACACAAGATTATTATAGTCTAAAGATATGCATTCTTTCAAGGCATGTGAGGCCTTTCATTTAATTTTAAAACTTGAATTCCAGCTTGAATACAAAAATTAAAATAAATCATCCATTTCTTATTAGATTATTTAATTTTTTTAGGTAGTTTTGACTTTGAGTCCATTTCACAGCTAAACGTAAAGTTAAGAAGGTTACTTTTCACTTGAGCTCCTCTTCCTCTCCTCGTACCTTCCTACACATCTGATTAAACTGCACTGTCAGCTTATGTAACACGGACGGCCCGCTCTGCTACAGAATATGTTCCAGCAACAGGAATAAGAAACACAAACGTCATGCAGCCAATTATTTAGCAGCCTCCAGGGATGTTAGAGTCGGACATTCAAACTCTCAGAGCTGAGGCACATCCATTTGTCTTCATGTTCCTGCAGTCTGACGGTTTGCTTTAGTCATATTAAACAAGTAACGAGTCAATTTTAGATTTGCATCTTGTTTCATACAAACAGTTTTTTTTTTAATCTGCCTGTTTCACTTTAATAAACTTATCATTGTGGAAGTGTGTGAATAAAAGACCTAAACTCATATTCTGTTCAAATACTAAATAGTTGCTTTAAAGTCGGTTGACTCTCAGAGGCTTTTCTAAAGCCATATGCATTCTGACCATCATAGATCTATAAAGCTTAATGCACTTTGTCAAATGTGAGCTTGGATGCAAGTGTTTGTGTGCACGCTTGAGCCATCACGGTTAAATTGTGAAGCAGATTTTAATCAGAGTGTGTACATTTTGCCTGCAGAATGAAATGATGCAGCACTATGTCTAATTAAAAACAGCCCATATATATACAGACTGTTGATGTTAGAGCTAAAGCTGTGCAAAAAGAAACTAGTGCAGGAAATCACTCACACTTGTGAATACTCAGTTTGTCTAATAGATTTGGAATGATGTGCAAACGGTGTCCGTGTTTTTAGTTTTTGATTCGTTTACTGATTTGCTCCAAATAGGTTTTTGCCTGACAGCTAAAATATATTTTAATGAACAAACGTTGCATAAACATGTTAGTGAAGAAGTACTGATCTAAATAATTCTGTTTGTATGAACACATTCATCACATCTTTTCAAAGTACAGATGCTGAATTTATTGTTGTGAACTGAAATCATAATTTTAACTAAGGAGTAAATTTATTCAAAATACTTCTGATGTGTTGCCAAGAATAGAAAATTTGTTTTAATTCCTTAAAAACAGAATATTTTATGTTTAAACTTTTTTCCTGCAAATAACCTGTCAAAAATTAATGAAAGTCAAGCATTCCTTTGCATATCACCATTCATTCTAGCGTTATAAACTAAGAATATCTTGCGTAGAGAAATGACTAATTTAGAATTAATTCTAAAGTTTGACCAAAACAACACGAGTATGTTTTTAAATGACCCTCAGCTACTACCTCATCAAATGCTAGATCAATATCTGTAAAACAGACTGAAAAATAGCCATTTTTGTGTTAATTGTATTTTGATCTAGACCATTTTAATTGCCAACTCTACTGCTAAGTAGCTGCAGTAGCTCTAGAATGTAATTAGTTGTACCAAAACATAATTTCCTGAAAGTTTCATTAGAATCTATCCGTTGGTTTATGAAACATTTTGGTAACAGACACACGCACACAAAAAATATTGTCTGGCATTGCTGTCAGTAGTGGGCGAATATAGACAAAATAAATAAATATGAAGTGTTTGCTTTAAATTTAACACAGTTTGCTGTAAACCCAGGAATGCACTTACCTGTTTTAGATTCTGCAGGCCACTGGCTGAGTCTGTTATTGTGATCAAATCCTTCTGAATCTGGTTCACCCACCCTTTAATTCTGCAAAATGAACAGACACAATAAAAACCAATCATTCCTCAGCCATTAAAGCTTGTGTTTGTCCCATTATAGCTCATCCAGAGATATATATTTTTTATTTGATTGCTAAACAACACCAACTTGCTAAAACTTCTGGGACAGGAAGCGTGAAATATTAATGTTTAGCCAAGTGAATACTGTACATTGCTCACATTCACATTAGCAAGCATTAAAGCCAGAGCTATTTACGGTTGTTAGCTGGAGAGCGCCGTGTCCTCGGGGTCAAGATGCTGGTTAATGTGTTTTGTCATCAGTTAAAAACACAGAAAGAGGAAAAAAAGACACATGGAAGGGTTTAGATTTTGTTTTGTGCAACTACTAAACATACAGGTGCTGGTCATGAAATTAGAATATCATGAAAAAGTTCATTTATTTCAGTAATTCCATTCAAAATCTGAAACTTGTATATTATATTCATTCATTACACACAGACTGATGTATTTCAAATGTTTATTTCTTTTAATGTTGATTATAACTGACAACGAATGAAAACCCCAAATTCAGTATCTCAGGAAATTTGAATATTGTGAATAGGTTCAATATTGAAGACACCTGGTGCCACACTCTAATCAGCTAATTAACTCAGAACACTTGCAAAGACCTTTAAATGGTCTCTCAGTCTAGTTCTGTAGGCTACACAATCATGGGGAAGACTGCTGACTTGACGGTTGTCCAAAAGACGACCATTGACACCTTGCACAAGGAGGGCAACATTGCTAAAGATGCTGGCTGTTCACAGAGCTCTGTGTCCAAGCACATTACCAGAGAGGCGAAGGGAAGGAAAAGATGTGGTAGAAAAAAGTGTATAAGCAATAGAGATAACTGCACCCTGGAGAGGATGATGAAACAAAACCCATTCCAAAACGTGGGGAGATTCACAAAGAGTGGAATGCAGCTGGAGTCAGTGCTTCAAGAACCACCACACACAGACATATGCAAGACATGGGTTTCAGCTGTCACATTCCTTATGTCAAGCCACTCTTGAACAAGAGACAGCGTCAGAAATGTCTCGCCTGAGCTAAAGACAAGAAGGACTGGACTGCTGCTGAGTGGTCCAAAGTTATTTTCTCTGATGAAAATAAAATTTGCATTTCCTTTGGAAATCAAGGTCCCAGAGTCTGGAGGACGAGAGGAGGGGCACGGAATCCATGTTGCTTGTTTCCACAATCAGTGACAGTTTGGGGTGCCATGTCATCTTCTGGGGTTGGTCCACTGTGTTTTCTGAGGTCCAAGGTCAACACAGCCATCTACCAGGAAGTTTTAGAGCACTTCATGCTTCCTGCTGCTGACCAACTTTATGGAGATGCAGATTTCATTTTCCAACAAGACTTGGCACCTGCACACAGTGCCAAAGCTACCAGTACCTGTTTTAAGGGCCATGGTATCCCTGTTCTTAATTGGCCAGCAAACTTGCCTGACCTTAACCCCATAGAAAATCTACAGAGTATTGTGAAAAGGAGGATGCGATGCACCAGACCCAACTATTCAGAAGAGCTGAGGCCACTATCAGAGCAACCTAGGCTCTAATCACACCTGAGCAGTGACACAGACAGATCAACTCCATGCCACGCCGCATTGATGCAGTAATCCATGCAAAGGAGCCCCAACTAAGTACTGATGCTGTACATGCTCGTACTCTTCATGTTCATACTTTTCAGTAGGCCAACATTTTTAAAAATCCTTTTGTATTGGTCTTCAGTAATATTCTAATTTTCTGAGATACTAAATTTGGGGTTTTCAATCAGTTGTCAGTTATAATCATCAACAATAAAGGAAATAAACATTTGTAATACATCAGTCTGTGTGTAATGAATGAATATACAAGTTTCACTTTATTAATGGCATTACTGAAATAATAAACTTTTTTATGATATAATACATCAGTATTATATTTTAAATTTTGGCTCAACTAGAGTATTGTTGGACCTAAACAAACATCTGCACCCAGGATCAGATCCAAACAGCTGGACACAAGAAATAAGAAAGAATGAAAACACTAAAGACACAACCAGATCGATTCACTTTTGAAGTGTTACACCTATCACTGTGCACTGTTTACATGTTGAAGCCACACATTGTGGACACCATCTGTGAGCTGAATGATGTCATTAACCCTTAAACAAACAAAAATAAGTCTTTATTTGGTTAAATCTACAGATTATGCATGTTGTAAAAACTATAATGTGCTCTAAATAAGTATGTTTTTGTAATGCAACTGGGGTGGTTTTAAAGATGGTTTATAAAACATTTCACAGCAAGTCTAACATGAGGTTTGGTTGTGTAAGTGTACAAGTGCTTGTTTAATGATATTAAGTTTCACAGTTTTTACTTTTTCATCCCAAACTGCACACAAAAGAATATGATTTTACCACTTCATATCTCTAACGTGTTCTAATATCAAAGTCAAAGAGTCAGAGTCAGTCATCCATCCATCCATCTATCCATCCATTATCTTTACCCGTTTATTCCATTTTGGGTCACGGGGGTCGCTGGTGCCCATGTCCAGCAATCACTGTGTGAGGGGCGGGGTACACCCTGGACGGGTCGCAAGTCCATCACAGGGCCACATAGAGACAAACGAGACAAACAACCATTCACTCTCTCACTCACACCTAGGGACAATTTAGAGTTATCAATCAGCCTTACATGCATGTTTTTGGACTGTGGGAGGAAACCGGAGTACCCGGAGAAAACCCACGCATGCACAGAGAGAACATGCAAACTCCACCCAGAGAGGCCCCTGGACCGGGGTTTGAACCAGGGACCTGCTCGCTGAGAGGCAGCAGCTCTACCAGTTGCGCCACCGTGCTGCCCAGAGTCAGTCAGAGTTTCTTTATTATCATTCGCACCTCATGTGGTACATGTGGTGGAGCGAAATTATGTACACTGGGTCCCAGTTACATCCAACAATAAAATGTGTAGTGAACCAGATAACCTCAAATCTACCAGATGGACAGAGACTGTTATTTTCATTGATCTGAATAAGTCTGAACCATCTGATGACTTTCTTTCTTGAATTAATCAAGCAGAAAAGACAATTCTTTATAATCATTACTGTCTTACAAATGTTTTGATAATCAAATTGTGTTAGTTCACTCAATGCTTTACAGGTTGAAAAGAACTACTAATTTTTATTTTACATAAACAGTAAGTAATGATTTTTGTTCCTCATTCAAAGCAGAAATCACCTGAATATGCCTTTCTTGATTTTTCTGTCTGAAATGAGCAAGCTGTCGTAAGTATGTGAAAGGTTGGTCTTCGGTCAACTAAAATGTTTACTGAAGAAGAAATGTCATGTTTAAACTTTTTCAGAAGATTACTAAGAGTAGACTCCAAAAAGTCTGCTGCTTCTGCAATAATCTTTTCTGTATGTTAAACAAGTTTCATTCTCTGACCTCGACTGTTGATAAACACCTTACGTCAAAAACCACTCCTCTTTCTGGTCCTTCCACGAATCAGAAAGCTCTAAATTGAACAGGAAGTCGACCCAAATAAAATGTGGCAACTCCCCAGTTCAAGTTGGATTGAGAGTTCTGAGAGATGTTGGATTGAGAGCTGACAACAGGTCCGATAGTCCAACAGAATGAGCAGATTGAGAGTGCAGCAGGTTCTGAAAGTTTCAGAGCAATGAAGAATCCAGAGGTTTTGGGATTATAATTCTGTTTTGAACTAACCACGCACGACTCTTCGAGGATTTTAGCTGTTTTCAACGGAGACGCTGATATCAGTTGAAAAGGATTCCTACTGAGCTGATCTATCATCAACCAGGTAACGGCCTCTTCTTCGACTAAAGTGTACCGTGGACAGGCTGGAGATCTGACGGAGCGTGCAACTTCTGGTCAAACAGATTAAATTCCCTCACACATTTCCTCTGTAAGATAAATCTCAATTTACTCTTAAACTCACCTCTCTCTCATAAAACAGTACAGATATTTTTAGAAATGTCTGAAGCAAAGTCCTCAAATCACCGCCGAGTGATTTGAAGTTCATTTTCTGTGAAACTGTCTGTTATTATTTTCATATTTTGCCAAATTAATGTAAATGTTTGATGTTAAACTTTGATTTTGAAAATAAATGATTCCATTCATTTGATGGGTCAAAGATAAATAACGTCTCTCGTTCACATTTCTGTTAAATTCAATGCACGGCATTTACAGTCAGAAAAATGAAGAACTCGTGAATATTGTATGCATATATAATTCATATATTTGTCATACAACAAGTGACACGTACCTCACGTGTATCACTACAAATGTAAAAGAAAAACAATGATAATATCCAAGATATTAACTATGAAAAACATCAACTAAATATACACTAAGCACCAATAACATAAAAACATCACGTCGAACATCAGCACAAACCTGAACACGAGTCCGTGTAAGCAGATGAGCACACATGAACACATCAACATTGAAACAGATCAGCAGCAACATGATGTGATTTTTCCACAGTGATTATTCTGTGTGTATTTATGTATATAGATGAATTACACATGACTAAACTGGACTTTAATCATAATAATATTTTAGCCTAAAAACACTAAACTAGTCTTTTTATAGTTGCAGTAATGAGTTGAAATTGGACTGAAAATTTGTTAAAATCAGTCACTGCCAAATAGGGAGACCTAGATAATGTCAAAGTTTAATTGCACTTACAAACAGTAAATTTCAGTAAACACACTGCCTTTTCACAGAAAACAATCTGATGTTGTTTCAGTATGATGTGTTCACTATATTGCCTGATTAACATTTGTCAGCCATTAATTTGGTCACAAACCCCATAACAGGTCATCAACTTTTGTCAAAAATTGAAGTATTGGTTGTAACTTTTACATTTTAGGCCTTTAAGTTTTTCATTCAATCGTCTTCCATCCTCTCAAACAAAAGCTGATGGACACACCTTTCAAATAGACACCGTTTTAAATGAGAGCAAATTAAACAATGCTCAGTCAGGTCATC